TGCCTTGCCGTCCCCCCCCTGCCTGCCTGCAGCCGTTTTCATGTCAGCACTGTTGGGCACATACGCCTGAGGTGGTTCCTGGGGCTTCTCCCTTGCCACCACCTGCAGCTTGACTGCCGTGTGACCGTCTGGAGCTGCTGCTTCTCCTGCAGCCACCGGCCTGGGGCCATGGCGGTGAGTCTGGGGACTGGGCAGGGCAGTGCCTGAGTGCAGCTGGGCACTCCCCAGGCAGGGCTGAGGGCTGCTGGGTTTTTGCTCAGGAACGGTGTCTGCCCGTGTTTTTCTCTCATGAAGGAGGGTTGGCCAACAGGGTCGGGTGCTATCGGTGACTTTCTGGTGACTGGCCTCGTTGGCTTTTTTTAAGCAGATTTTTTTTTTCTTACTGCTTCAGGTGTCTTTCCTCTGAGTTGCTCTTTTGCACCTTGAAATGGGTGGATTTCTTCTTGTTTTGTTTTCAATAAATATATGGGTTTTTTCTTTCCAAAGGGAAAGCTTTTTTCTGAGGAAAAATCTCATTTGATGAGGGGAATCTTGCATCTACGCTCTTGTCAGACTTTACAATTCAGTGGGAATAAAGAGCTCCTGCTTCGTGCAGAAGTAAAGTCTTCTTCCTCTGAAATCTCAGCAACAGCTGGGGACAAAAGACCCCAAGCCCTGGAGCTCCCCTGGGCGAGCATCCTGTGCGCAGCAGGCGGGGCGGAGGGCGCGGGGCTCTCAGCGCCGCCTCTGGCACCCGCGGGCTGTCGGGGCTGGGCTGGGAGGAGGATCGGGCTTCTGGCAGAAGGAGCAGTTGGCAGCTGCACATGCTGGTGGCAGGTGCTCAAAAGCAGAAGCTCTTTCTTGCAAGGTCCCGCAGACACTGCGGGCAGTGACAGTGTGTTGAAGGCTGCATCACGGCTCCGTTTTACGTGCCTGGTGCTTTTGGTGGTCTGGTCAGTACCCAGAGGTTTCCCCTGGGTTGCCTTACTGGAAGTTTTTCTGTGTTACTTAGAAACACCCTTGCATCTTAATGACAGTAAATATTTTCAAATGCTTTTCAATACCATTTCGTTACTAAGGTAGTTGTTAGCAAAGCAGGAGCTGTATTTTAGCTTCCTAAATTAGTGCTTTGACTTTTTTCTTTTGATAACCCAGGTGAGTGATTCTGCCAGTCTTGGTAAGCATAGTTTTCTGTTCAGATGATACAGCTAACAGTTGCTGTACAGAAGAATTTCTTAGAGGCTGGAAATACCTTCCTCAGTCTGAGTGATCCAATACCTGCCTTTTCCATGGTCTGTACGCGTTACATCCTGTCAGAATTTTTTGGGGGGGGGGGGGCAGATATTTGGGCTTACAGAGGCAACTGGTCATGGTCACTTCCTCTTGATTTTGTGTGTTTGTCTCTGTTTAGATTTAAGCAAATCAAGATCGTTGGGGAGTAAAGTCCTTGTTGATATATTCCTTACCGGCATGCTGAGCCAGACAGTTCTGTTTTGTTACTAAACTGGCTCCTAGTCCTCACCTGAATTAATAATTCAACAGGACAAGGTTGTGTACCTCACGTTGTTTAGAATTTAGATAGGAGAAAGTGGTTGTCTCCCCATCCTCCTTTTCTGAACAAGTAGTATATTATTAAAATACCCAAGAGTAGGTGTCAGAGAATTCTGGAAATTACACAACTGTGAATTTGGTTTTGATTTCAAAAGACAATTTTTATGGTATAGTTCGTTTGGTTTGAAACTTACAAAAAATTTAAAAGTAGTGCTAAGTTAGTCAGTAATTTTTGGTTTTCCATCTAATTCAAAATATTTTCCTAAACCTTGCTAGTCTTTTCTCAGTCTTTGGAGTTGTTGTTGTCTCTAACTTGTGTTCTTTGGCAGAGAATTGTTTATCATATTTGTAATCTGATCACATACACCAGGGCAGAAAAATAGTTCTTAT